ATTAGTACTTTTTTTTGTACTTTCTCTCTTTCTCTACAGTATCTAACCACTATCCCTCCATCTACACAGAAACAGACAGCCCAAACCAAAACATCCACGTCCCGTTATTTAATTGGTTCCCATTGGTAAGATCAAGTATTTATACGAGGAGCCTTTCACTCTACTCAAAACCACTCCTGGTTTACTTCCTCTGGAAATAGAACCATTTATCCACTGTAAATGAAAAAACATCAGTCAATCTCACATCAGATGAAACAATTCAGCAGGAATCTAACAATCAAGTCATTATATAAAGATTTTCTATTTTTAAATCTACCTGATGAGGGGATGGTTTCTTCTTTTTCAAGAGGACTTGTCTGAAAACAGAATGAAACATCAGTTATGAAATCAAGAAACTAAAAGGCCTTCAATTGACAGAGGTCATGTTGCAAAAAACCTACCCCGGCAACCACAGCTTTAGCCTCGTCCGCTGAACAGAAGTAAGGGCTGCCGCTGGGCGAGACACACGTGTTTTTGCTGTATTGCAAGACACAGACATTCATAGTTTAGAATCAATAAATCATAACATTTTAGTTTACATTTTCTATTGTATTTTTTTAGCTGGGGTCAAAGCAGTAAGAACCGTGTTTACCAGTTCAGTTCACCAGCATCGATCTTTTGGGAAATGAGGTCTTTCCAGAAGATGTGAGTGTTCTTGATTATTTTAATGGCAAAGTCCTGAAACACAAAAAACAGCACGTGATAAATTGAAAAGTAAGGAATTCGATTAACAATAACCTTCACACAAGAACAATCTGTAAATCATTTCATTTAAAGTCTAGTGTGCCAACTGCAGTTCCTTGAAAGTCTAACCTTCCAAAGCAGAGCATGTTTGCAAGACAGAAACAACTCTGACAGGGAAGAAAAATAATTTGTGAGAGTAAAAATAAGAGTGTGTTAGACCTTGTCCTTAAACTCGCCGTTGAACGCGAACTCGTTCTCTGGTTTCCCATCGGGCACTTTGTACATCCTGAACCAGTCGACGGTGGACTCCAGGTAGCCGGGTTTCAGCCGCCGGACATCACTGATGTCTAAACAGAGATTGGGACAACAAAACAAGTTCAGTATGATTGACGCAGCACTGCTCGGATGCTCAGACAAAGAGAAAAATAACAGACGTGCTTACTGTTAAAGTCCTTGGCTTCAGGGTCCTCCACGTTGATTCCAATCACTTTCCAATCAGTCTCGCCCTCATCGATCATGGCCAGGATCCCGAGCGCCTTCACTTTGATCACCTCCCCGCGGGAACACACCTAGAGACAACGTTTGAGTTTGCAGTTTATTTTCTGTTATCATCAGCAGTATTATCCTTTTTCAAATCTATATCACCTTTGACAAAAGAGATGATAAACAATTAAGTCTTGTACCTTGGTGCCGATCTCACAGACATCGATGGGGTCGTTGTCACCGACGCAGCCAGTGTCTTCATCTTTGTGTGAGGGATCTTCCCATGTCTGCAACCACCACAGAACAAAGCCGAGTTCAACATTGGCACTTTTTAAACACTCGGCAGCATTGATCTTACACCATCACAGTTTCAAGACACGTACCTGAGGAATGGCTCCATAGTTCCATATGTAGCCCTTGTGTGGGAACACATTGGCAACGTATCTCACGTTACCCTTCTTCACATCTTGCTTCACAGGGTTCAAGGGTTCTTTTGTAGCAATCTGAATATAAATTGTTATTTTGAAAGAAGTGATAAGCGTTAAAATTACGTTTAAGTGCATTTTGTAAATTCCTATTGCAACAGAGAAACTTCACCAGTGAACCCAGTTGCAATAAAATACTATGGATGACTGGAAATCACATTAAATATTCACATTATTTTAATAATAACAATGCCAGAAATGTAAATAAACTCTTATTCTTCAGAAGAAAGATTGCACAAATGTATAGGGATCAAAAAACAAAGCTGCAAAAGTATGTAAGACTCATACCTCCATCTTTGCATTAGTCCACCTTGGTACTTCAACAACCATGTTGAAGATGTTCTGTAAGAGACACAAAGCCATCATTATATATATGTTAAACTATTCTGAAATGGTTTAGTACATTACTGAAGATGACACAGTATGAAACCACAAAAATGCCTATATAATGTGCATCATTATGGCTGCTTTGACCTGCATTGCTTGGGTCATAACCTTTCCATTAAAATGATTTGTCGTGTCATAAAGATAAGATAAACCATAATCTACAGTTATTAAAAAAGGCCAGGGCCTCCCTTAATGACCTTGTTATTCAAGAGAGCATTAATAAAACCAGTTCATTGCCCACACAAATACATGTCCATGGCAGTTCTACAGTTTCAGCAGTTGATAAATGGTAATACATATATTATACTCATATATTAACTGGGGTAAAGGTGATTGATTGAGCCTCACCTGACTCTCATCTGCATACATTGGTATGTCATGGAATGGTGAGATGTGCTTTCCTTCAGCATTTTCTGTAAAACAGTTTGATTAAAACACATCATCATCATCATCATCATCATCATCATCATCATCATCATCATCATCATCATCATCATCATCATCATCATCATCATCATCATCATCATAGTGTCCAGTGGATTGCAAAGACAGTACATAGCTTTTCACTAATGCTTACTTGCACTCCTGGTTGTAGGTGTGCCATTGAGTTGCTTGTTTGCTAAAGGTTGATGATTTTGTGTCTGTATATCATGACCTCTTTGCCCATTAATGGTTCAATGACATCTCGGACAGGAAGTGAACGCAATAGAGGAGGCTGCTTGAAACATTGAATTGCATCCTGCCAGGCCTAAAGCTTTCACTATTACTTAACCAAAATTAGCGGAGTACACAGGCTTATTTTACTCACTGTGAGATTAACATGTTCTGCATTAAAATTCCTTAAACTCTTGCATTTTGATGATGAAGATAGTGACTTGGATTTATTCTGACAGCCCCAAAATTGAAATGGGTTTGTCTATAAAAACTATGACTATGACATAGCAATATAACAATCATAAACAAGGATGATAAATAATCGGTCTGTGAAACTTACTGAAAAAGAGTATTGAGTTCAACAGGTTCAATATACCCCACCTTCACCTTATCAATTACAGTATTATTACATTACAACCAGTTGCCTCACATACCGCAAGCCTTGATGATGTTGTGCTGGGTGACGTGTTTAAGACCCTTGTACGATTTTCCAATATTACCAACTTCCTTCTAGTAATTTCACTCAAGAATACAACGTGAACTGTGTGACCGACTGAGACGTTATGTCAGAAAACAAGTCATCTAACGGCGAAACCGGAAACAACTGGCTACCGCGACTTGTAAAGGCTCAAACCGAGAAATCATGACTGTTCAAACAAGTTAAGATTTGCTTGTAATCCTCCAGAGTAAGACAAATGTCAACACTAAAACACACAAGGACTAAACAAACCAGCAACAATGAATGAATAAGTGACACGTGGAGAATGTAGCCAGCTAGAAGGGTTTGTAAAAAGACATAAAAGTAGCAAACAATGACACAACTCTGTTTTTTAAAGTGAGTTTGTACTTACTGAAGAACTGACGGTAGTTCAGGGAGTGCAGGTTCCCCCTCTCTTCCAGTGTGTAGCTCATGTTTAGTGCAGGTTAGTGCTGCTGTCTGGCTCTGGGATGGAGGATGGCGGCGGAAGGAAGCGTCTGCGCTTTAGGTAGTGTTGAGAGAGAGGGCACCGCGCATGCGCAGTCTGCATAGGATGCCTTCAGAAGCTATCGGAAATATCTAACTCGACAAATGAAAATAGAAAAAACATGTAGGCTACACAACTATAAGTGGAAGTTTGAATTGAGTATCAAGCAGAACTGAATAAGGCTTAAGGATGAATGGAACAATCATTGTTGTCAATGTCACACACTACACAATGTCATCTATAGTAGTTATCAAAGTATTATCTAAATATAGGCCTAGTTTATTTTTGCAGTATTGCAATAGTCTGTATTTGTTGAACTATATTTGCCTGTCTATATGTTAAATACTGAAGATGTTAATAATAACAACATAGTGTATGTCTTGAGTCAATAATACTTGTTTTTATGCTACCATTTATTTCATTATTACAAGCTGCCGAGGGTGCTATGATCTCGCATGAAATCAGATCAGAGAGACTTTAAAGATAAAAAAAGTTGGAAAAAAACAAGTAGAACTAATAGATCCGTCCTGGTACTCAAAGACTCAACAAACATGGTTTGAAAAAGTTTTCTGACAATGGTGAGAACTGCCATTAGCTTCACAACGCTTGTATTGTCCAACCAACAGTCCAAACCTCAATATTATAAATACACCTATATGTATATACATTTATGTATGTATTTACTTGAACTGTTTGCTGTACATACAGTCGGCTAGCTAACCATTTGAATTTTTAGTAAAATATGAGAAAAATATTCATGCCTTAAACATTTTATTAGGATTTAAGAATAAACCAATTATATATTGATAAAGTTGTAGGTGTGGTGGGAAGATTGAGTTAAAGTAGGGGGAAATTAAAATCTGACAGGTCACAAAAATCAGCACTTTTAAATGTAACCTACTGTAGTTTCTATAAGCCTGGAGATATTCAGAGGTGGAAAGTACTCAAGTACAATTAAGTATCATTTTGAGGGACTTGTACTTTGCTTGAGCATTTCCATGTTATGCTACTTTATAGCCTTTACTCCATTACATTTAAAAGGGAACTAATGTTTGTACTCCACTACATTTATTTAACAGCTTTAGCTACTTTTAACAGATGAGTATTTGCTGATAATACTTTTGTACTTTTACTGAAGTAAGACTATGAATGCAGGATTTTTACTTAACTGAGTATTTCTACACTGCAGGAATGCTACTTTTAAAGGATCTGAGTACCAAAACTGCAGATATTGTAAAAACAATAATGTTTCTCTGAGTGTAGAAAGTAGGCAGGCACCATGCTGATGCTGACTACACATCCGCCCGCTGCCTGTCGTCCTTCCTGCCTTTGCTGAGGGAGGGGACGGTGCTGACGGCTGGGAGGACGAGAGGAGAGACAAGAAAGCTTTGGGGAGATATTAGAGTGGGAAACGGCCCAGGTTTCCACCGTCCGTCGGGAAATAAACACCCCTATTTTCTGAAACGGTTTGATTTGTCATCGAATCGGAACTGAAGATGTCGACCAGTCGTCAGCTTAGCGAGAGCAGAGCCATCCCGACCAGGACGGTGTTGATCAACGACACAACGCAGCTACCTCATGACTATTGTACCACCCCTGGAGGCACTTTATTCTCTACCACTCCCGGAGGTAAGGGGATATCCCGACTACGCATAGTTTTTATTCAGAAAATGGAGGATAATTGTCATTTTGTGGTGTTTGTACTCTCACAAAACCTTTCACTGCTCATGTAACAGTGGCCTATAGGCTGCCGTGTCATCCCGATCAAAACAAAAACAAAGCTAAGCCCCGCCCCCTCGCTCTCTCCCGGCTGTGTGATTGGCTGATTTGCAGCGCAGAGATTCTGATGATGGCATTGTGCAGTAATATTTAAAAAAGGTGGAAATGTTTTCTTTGCCACCTATGATTATGAATAACACGACTGTGATAATCTACAGCTTAAGGCATTTACTGTGCGTCAGCTATGCATAGCTGGATTTGTATTTGCCTTAGAGTTCATAGGAGGCCTTTCAGATAAGGATGTGCAATACATCCACCAAGGATGCTGTACTGTACGCATCTGCTTTATATATAAACAGATTCACTCAGCATAGCAATGTAATATAGACTTTCTGACAAAGGTTTTAACTTTTTATTTTTGAGTGAAAATGATCTATCACAGTCCATGCTGACTTCTTCAGACGTCTTATTTTATTCCAACAACATTCTAAAGCCCAAAGTATACCTGCATGGTTTACAATAATATAACATAGAGAAGCAGAACATCTTACATTACCAAAGCTTGAGCCAACATTTTTTAGTTGGCATTTAGCTTGAAAAGGACTAAAACTAAGAATCAATCATATTTGCTTGTATATTTGATGTCAATCAGCTTATTGACTGACCATTTCACATATAAACCACCATCATATTTGAGAATGTTATGGAATTATTGTTTAAAACTGTGGTTTAAAAACTAGGGGGCAAATAGACCACTGAAGGGTTCTCATAGCCAGAGAAAAACATATTAAGTTAAACTAAACGGCCTTTGGTCACAGTACATCTTGACCTGTCAAACACATACTGCAGATCAGATTAATCACTGCATTGCATGCAATTATTGCTGGAACTGTGCCACCGATATCGTTATTAGTTCCACCTGTGCAGTTCTGCCGTGACACGTTAAAGTGTGTACTCTGAAAAAGGTCAGTGACTCTGATTAAATGTGAGCGATAAATACTGTTATGAAAGCAAGGCTATCAAGTTCGATGTTAGGTCTATGTTCCTCCATGTCTTGCTTTTTATAGTTCCCATTTAGTTGCATTTCCTTTCATTTATTCACAAGGACGATAGACATTAATTAAAATGTCTGTAAATGTGCCAGTATTTAGTCAGCTGGTTACCTCAGTGAGATATTATATACCAGTTAAGGTGATGATATTTACAGAAGACAGCAATACAATATAAAGACAGCAACACAATGCTTTCTCGAGCGACTGCAGAAGACATGTAGATCAACAGGAAGCAGCAAAACACAGCCAAGCGGAACTCTTTATATATGTTTTAACACATCAAAACATGCAGAGTACCCTTAAGCAAAAGGGCTTGAATAAAATACAACCATCAGGATGGAGATCTAGATAAATAATGTTAAAAGATGCAGTTACATCTTATTAAAATGTGTATTTTATTTTAAGATGTCGGTGCCTTTTGACAGGGTTTTAATCTGGGCTCATTTGATAGCACCGGCATGAGATGCTTCCCAGGATAGAGCACGATAACTTTAACTTGATACGTGTTGTGTTTCAGGAACCCGGATCATCTATGACCGTAAGTTCCTACTGGACAGACGTAACTCTCCCATTGCCCAGACTCCCCCGGCTCACCTGCCTGTCATTCCTGGAGTGACCAGCCCAAATGTCCTGAGAGAGAATAAGAAGAACGAAGCCAACAACCACATAAAAAACAAACATGATGGCAAGCCCATAACCGGTAAGAGTTACAATATGGTCTGAGTAACCATCTTTTTTCTCAAACATTTAACTGCACCCTCTGTTGTTAAGCTGTAATTATTCCACTTAATACCCATTATGATATTAAAGAAGCACAACCTGTTTCAACATACCTTTCTCAATACATGTGTTGTTTCTTCTTTTCAAGGTGATGATGCTCAGTTTGAAATGGACATCTAACAGACTGGAACTCCACCAGCAAAAGAATATGACCTGGCATCACCCGTGTCAGTGGCTTGGCTTGTAGAAGAAACCGATGTTTGTGGAGCCCTCATGGCATCTTCTTTAGCTCTCTGTCTCGCTGCTGGATGTAATGTGTGTAAACCATGGGAAATCAGTGTATCATACAAACCGGTACATTGTCACCAACTCTGGGAAACTACGTTCATTGTATAGATTTCCATTGATACCAGTCACTGTAAAAAAAAAACACACATTGAAGGAGCGGGGCCCCTCCAAAATGGTTGTGTACCCAAACACATTGTCCAATCCGCAGATTTTAGCACTCATCTTCCAGCTTTCTGTGAGTCATGATCTCTAACAGAGCACACTGTAAAACGGACACAATTCCAAGATAATTTGGGGGAGGAAGTGGTAATTTTAGTACTGGCCTTAGAATTATTCAAAAGCTTTGATATTCATCACATATTTTGGTTTTGAAGACGCATGTTATTTAAGTGATTTTAGTTTGTGTTTGCTATTTGGTTCTACTTCAAATCTCCATAATATATTCTCAATTGTTTGGTCTGGTAAATTTCCTGCGATAGTATGCAAAGGGACGCTGTGTTGTTTTTATTTTGCAATTTGATGAAGATTTCATGCCATTCCAAGACTCTAGTTCCCATTAACACCACAAGCCCATGTGAGATTTAGATTATTTAAGAAATTGAATTTTAGGCTGTTTTTAAATGTTTTGTAATCATCAAATTATTGTATTTCCCACTATGATGTCAAATTATTTATAATACTGAAAAACAAGCATTTTATTAACAATTAATTTAAAAGTCAATGTCAAGCCTTTCAATTCATCACTATGACGATCTGGCTTTACAGTTTCTCTCCTGCTGAGAAAAGTGAATACCTTTTCTCCAGATTTGACTTTGACCTAACTGGTTAGGTTTGTAGACAAGATCTTTGTGTTGATATTAGGTCAATCTAAGAAAGGGAGGAATACGTGGCAATATCTGTCAGTCTTCTGTGTCCACACCAGATACACATTTCAATTAATGTGATAATGGTTAATATCCCAATGGTAATTTTTAAGTAAAATACAACAAGATTTTTGAAAAACTTTAAATAATCCACATATTTTATATGCATTTTATTTTTGAATACAGTTTCTTAGTATTGAGGTATTTGTTTGGGTATCAGTTCTGTCAAGCCTTTGGATTTGTAAAAAGTGTCACAGATCCAGAAGACATTGTTTGCGTCAGGCTTGATAGATGTTGTCCCATAATCTACAAATCTGACCCCAGTGTCCTTAAATCATCATACATTACCATATTATTTTAATGTCTGTCCATGCCTTACTTTACACCAAATGCAGTAACTAAAACTAGGTTCCTAGTCATCAATTTGTACTTTCCAACAGATGTTTATTTTTTCACTGTAACATTGAACAGGAAACATTGTACTTGGCACTTAAGACGAAAAACACGTCTTTTTATGGATTTTGATTTTGTTATGTTTTTTTCTTCCTAAAGCAGCTGTGAAGTTTTTGAAAGTGTGATGGTGCCATTTTGGGGTTTTGAGCTCCAGGTGGCAACGTGGCTAAAATAATGCCACTTGCTGTTTGAGTCCCAATAGTTTATTTATTTTTTCTTTTGCACCACAATCAGTTTGCTAATTGTACACTTTCCAAGTAGCAACTCCTAACTTTATCATCATGAAGTACCCCTTTTATTTTCAAATGTATTCCCACCACAAGTTTGTTTCTATGAGTGGAACCACCGAATGGCTGAAATGATGTCTAGCAAGGATTTTCTTTTTTTCTTCTAGGCTTTTTAGTTCATTCGGGTTATTTCTGGTGATAAACACATTGAGGAGTTGCTTGAAAACCAATTTGCATTGCACATTTTTGCTTTCTATTACGGCATCATAATTCATATTGCAGATTTATTTCAAATCCGTTTGGTTTCACAATGAGGGCTTAACATTGTGTGTTGAAAGAGATTTGAAATAAACTTACTGTAACTTTCTGTTCTGAATTTAAGTAACTTTATTTTAAATGAAACTCCAATGCCAGTGGACACTTTTGCTGAAAGATCAATAAAGTTCCGTAAGAAAGAAGTTAAGATGTTGTGTTTTTTATTGTAATCTGCTTTTTTTAATGTAACAAAAATATATCACGGATTCATGCTATTTAAGAGCGGAGCCTTATTCTCACCTCAAAAGTACTTAACTATAAATAAAATGTCTTTGCAAACGTCTTATTGCATCAATTAATTTTCCAAATCATAAGACTATATTTGTTCAATTGTAGTACACACCCAAGTTCGATTTCCTTCTAGGCAAAGTATTACTCTATACATGGTCATACCTACATGTCCCTCTTATAATAGTCTGTTAATAAAAACTGTGATTATTGACTGGGTAATAATAAATAGACGTTTACTTGTCCGCAGATGGTGTTTTCCACCTAAATGTCAGTTTACCCCAAGTTTACCCCTGTTTCATGGTCTCTACGGTTTACCTTCAATACTTTTTACATTTTCCAATTTGCCAGGCACACGGCCCATTCTGTTCTTTAAAGTGTGTGTGTTAATATGGTTAATATCTATAGATTTTTCAGTATGAACGCTGATATGAAAATATGTTTGCTTTTGTGGCGACGAAAGAAGACATTTTTAATGTTTATAAATTCATTGTTACATATTTGAACAACGATTGTATTTAATCAAATAACTAACGTTAACTAAGAACAATTAAATTAATTTCGCGAGTTTTTTTATTTGTGTTTACGCTTTTACATCAGGCAACATAACTGCGTGCCCGCTCAATTTTTCTGCAGGCATTTATTCGGCCGCCTGCTGGTCCTTCCTCCTTTTCTACGTCCCTGAGCGAGGCCGGCGTCAAGATGGTGAGTCTTGCGATAAAATATCAAGTAAAATCCGTTGATCATCGAGGCCATCCTTCTATCTGCACACTTATCATGACCATAATGTGATCGTTTAAGTGTTAGCTACAGTTTAATGTCAATATTGATGTGGTATAAAAGTATCCAAGCATAAAATCAGCCATCATCCAAATGCTAACCTAACTGATGGCTGCCCGGACGTTGTACACTCTGTATATACCTCCTTTGGGATAGCCTATACAGTTTATACCTTGCTTTTACTAAGCAATATATGTCTTTAACATACTCTGTCTCTCAAAGAAACATTTAAGTATTTGGGCTTTGTTTAGAAGTCTATAAAGAATCACGAAATGCTCGCTCCGAGCGGCTAATGTTAGCATTCACTACACAGGTAGCCATGGCCGGGCCCTCATGTTTGTGAACAGGAACATTAAAGAACCCTAGTTATGCTCAAATGTATTAGACTGGTAAAAAGTTGATTTAAAAAAACGAGGCTGCATTGAGGCTCTAAAAGCTTTACATTTGCCTGGTTAGTAAGCTATCTTAGCCAGTATGTTAGCTTAGAAGCTATAAGATAATGTTGTGACAGCATGTACCTGGTAATGGCTGGATCAAAATGTTAGTTGTATGTGTTGAGAATAGTAGTTAAACGTTTGAACATTTTCAAGTTGTCAAATGTTATTGTGAACATCTACTTTATCTCTTCTTCAGAATGACACAGTGACAGTCAGGTCCCGAAAGTTCATGACGAACCGGCTCCTTCAGAGGAAGCAAATGGTAAGGCTTCAAACAGCACTGCACTTGTATGCATGTATATGTGTTAATAACATAATAAGCTAGGTTTTTTTTGTCTTGCATTCATACATTCATTGCCTGTTCTCTCTCTGTAGGTCGTCGATGTCCTGCATCCCGGCAAGGCCACAGTCCCCAAGACTGAAATCCGGGAGAAACTCGCCAAGATGTACAAGACCACCCCTGATGTTGTGTTCGTATTTGGCTTCAGGACTCAGTTTGGTGGCGGCAAGACAACAGGCTTCGCCATGGTTTACGACTCCTTAGACTATGCAAAGAAGAATGAACCCAAACACAGACTGGCCAGAGTGAGTTTTGCTTTGAGTTTTATTCACAATGTTTGTTTTAGTAGAAGGCATCCCTTTCCCACTTAGTCCCCAATCAAACTGCTTTTTGGAAGTTGCATAAAATGAGTTGCACTTAACTTGACATTTTGTTGCATCCTATGTTATTTTAAAAAGAGCAGCATGCTGCATTTCTATTCAACTTAATGCCCGGCAAGTACTGACCCGTCCTGAATTCATCTGATCAGACAATGGGGGGGGGAACATAAACTACAAGGGTCACCCATTTCCTCAACAGGAGGCCCTTAGGTACTCCTGCAAAAGCATGAGGTGCATAGAGCCGATAAATGTTGTGAGCTTAGCAATCAAAAGCAGCAAGATAAACTTTTCTCTCAATGAAAAATCCCTTCAAACCTTTTTGGGATTACATTTCTTATATACTGAGTTGTTGCCCACTGAATATACCCAATTTTTAAATGTAAATCATGTTAAGTAGTTTGTAGAGCACTCGTCAGTTAAAATGGCTGGAACAGGTACAATTGAGAAGATGTACCAGGAAATGCAAGTAGGTTTCCCTTATTGTCAATCAACACGCTTGGTGGGTGATGTTGAAATGGCCTTTCATGTGGAGGCAGTTTAGGTCATCTTTATCAAAAGCTACATAGGCAAGGCCAAATGTTAACCCCCCCCCCTACAGTTTTAAAGCGCATCATTCAGTGCTTGTTGTTATGCAGCTTTCATATTATCATCAATCCACATTGTGATGCCATGAACAACGAAAACATGATTAAAATCCATAGGTCACAATTAATTAAGTATTTAGATTAAAAATGTGTTCATCTTTTTTCCTTAGCATGGTCTCTATGAGAAGAAGAAGACCTCAAGGAAACAGCGCAAGGAACGCAAGAACAGAATGAAGAAAGTACGAGGCACCAAGAAGGCCAGTGTTGGCGCTGCTGGCAAAAAGGTATTGTAACCATTTTTATCCTTTGTATGGTCACTAAAACTCCTCCTGTTTAAAAAAAGGAGTTCAGACTTCTCGTGATAATATGATTTGTAAACATTGAATTTGTCTTTTCTAATCTAAGCAAAGAACAGAAAAGCCAAAGCAGGCTTCATCTAGTCCAACTTATTCTTTCTTGATTGTCATTTCTTACATATTATTTTCCCTACACTGCTGATCTCTTTTCACAACTTTTACCGTTTTAATTTCCTTTGCCATCTTTCCATTCGTATCAAATGTTCTTCGGGAACCGTAGAAGGTAAATGTTGTTCATAGATGGACTAACTCCAGTGTGCATATAAAGGAGTGCTGAATCCCCGCTAAGTCCTCTCTTTACCCCGCACCAAGCCCCAATGCACTCCCCCTGGATGTACACGAGGCATCCTGTGTGAAAGTATTCGACCCACTGGCCAATACTTTCTAGGCTTTTAATAATAACTAGTTTGAGCTGATAAATATTAGTTCTGTAAACCCCTGTCTTGGAAACCAAATGCCCCTTTTTAGTCCAAGTTGGCTAAATGGTCATTTTGGTTGTAATAGTTTAAGATTACGACTAAAACTTAATTCTGAATGATTTAACCCAAATAAAATGTGAGCTCGTCTCTGGTAGTGCTTTCAGGTGATTCTGGAGAAACAATTGTATAGTTTGCAATTAAAGCAATGAGCTCCGAAGATCTTGTGAGTGTTAGTCCACTAAGAATGTGTGTAGTTTATTCAAAGTAAAACGTGCCTACCCCTGAACCCTGTGGCACCGATCTCCAACCTAAAGTCACCTAGCATAGCCTGTTGATACCACACAGCTGCATCTGTAATGTCTTCAGCACAACTGGCTTTAAACATTGACTCTGTTCAGCCTTGTCAACAGCCACAACAAATTAATTCACAGATCTCTTATTTTCCATGTTCCATTAACTTAATTTTGTTTCATGTTTTGTTCTTGATTTCGCTTCTCATGGATTTCTTTTGCAGAAATGAGGTGTCAGTGTGCAGGTATAGAACAGCATGGTGTGCTAATGTGTTGCACATCCAAAGCAGATACACCTGAGCCCTGCATGTCACACCTTAGTCACCCTGCAGTCTTCCCTCAGTGTTTACCCCACTCTCCCATGTTGTTTCTAAGAGCCTGTTAGCAGGTTAACCCTCCACCAGTCCTTTGTACCCCTGTCTGCTATAATGGACATATCCCTTAGCTTTAGATCTGTAGTAAATAGAACCTGAGTGTAGCATGTGGATCTTAGTTCTTAGTGTTGCGTTGAGCTAAAAGCCTCCCAGTGAACTGAAATGTGTTTCTTTTACACCGTCTTATTCAACTCATAACAATGTTTTTATAAAACCTTGATCTATGATGTTGGATTTTAAACTGTCTTGTCTGACATACTGTGTTAACATTTGTTGACTTCATATTTTCAATAAGTTTCTGTTTACTGTAGACAGTAAGTTTTCTCTTCTAATAATGTTGTTGTCTCCTTACAGTGAGTCCGGACAGCCAGGGAGGGTCTCCGTGCTCAAGATGTTCTTGTATATTGTCATCCAATAAAATCTGGAAAAAAATGTTTTGGTCAAAGCGTATTTTCTTAAAGAAACCCATTTATTTCTGAAGCCTATATTTCAAATGAATGTAAGGTTTGGTGGCTCTAGAGACATTTGGTTGGCATGTTGGAGATCTGTAAATGCCTATCCCAAGCAGGACCTCTATCTGGCACCCTATTACTTAATCTCAACAAACTTTATCTTAAAAACTAATGTTACTTCTAGCATTTTAAAAGTGGCTGGATCTATACTGCATTTCAGTGACACTTGTATTGTTCAGCTCTAGATTGCTCCCAGGATTTCCTTTTTTTTTGTTTATAAAAAAGTATCCCAAGTTGTTTTAAGCAGCTGACTAAGCCTCCCTAAAGCAGCTGACATGGCTTTGACATGGGGTATTGCATCAGTAAGCAATCGGTATGATTGAAATGACTAAATGCACTTTTTGCTCAAATGACTTCATTTGAATGAATATTTCCGCCTGTTAATGCACAAACTTGAGCTTCGTTTATAGTGACCTCACTTAAAACTTGGCTTCGTTATGATTTACTGGCATGGATCAAAATAAGATCAGGGATGATGCCTGTCAAACATCTGTGTTAGATTT